TCAATAGGTGTACGAGTTTCTCCTGCGGCAGACTGATGAAATGGTCTCGAAGAGCGGTCTCGGCAGCGGCGAAGATGGAGTGGATGTGCTGGGCCATCTGCTCGAACGTGAGAGCAGGCTCGAAGAAGACGTTCTTTGAGGTCGACGCCATAGCGTTCAGCACTTCGATCAGCTGCTCTTCGGGACCGAGAGCATTGCGAGGTCTGAACTGAAAGCCAGGTAGAACCGTGGACGTCGGAAACTTGTTCGGCATGATCGCGTCCGGATCTACCGACGCTCCCTTGGTCGAATTCTCGAGTGCCTTGTCAGCCAGTGGCCGAAGCAAATCAGGCTGGAGAGTCTTGCGAGGCGGTGCAACCGTGTGACGAAACGCAGGCATCTCAAAGTCTAGCTTGAGGTCCTTCAGCAAGCCAGAGAAGTTAGATGGCGCTTTCGTTGCCACCGTCGCTTTCGTCGCAATTTTGAGGCCCTGCAAACCGTCCAGAACGTCACCCATGAGCAGATTGCTTTCCTCAATCTTAGTGGCGCCGACCTCCTGGGCCTTCCCCGCACGACGATTAAGCCTACCTCTTAAGCCTCCTTTACTTTGCTCTTCCTCTCCATCATCTTCGGGGTCGTCCGCCATGCTCGCCCTGATCTCCTCAAACCGCCTTTGATCAAGACAACTGATAAGCGCGTTCTCAAACTTTGGGGGACGACTCGTCGCACCGTCGGTAACCTCGCCTTCTGCCTTGCCAAGAACGCTTTCCATCCCTGGACCGTACGTGCATGCTTCCGAGCTCGCTGCATGCTGGCGTTCGGACGCGAATGACCTCGATACCTGTGCCTGCTTGACTGTGTTGTGCGGGTGCGCCATCCTGAAGTTGAGGATACGAGATTCGGGAACAGTGTGTCTGGCGTGAAGGTGGTGGTGTCAATGTTGGCCCATGTCGGGAACTGAAGATCAAGCAGTCGGAGTGGTCCAACATCTGTGGCATCGGAGGTCGCTGCTGTGCCGGTGCTTGCACCAGTAGAACTCTTTTCAGATGGGATATTGGGGCGAGATGCTGCAGGTGTTGAAGAGTTCGGGAGGCTGGGGTTCGCGTGCCCCTTTGTACCGTGACGAGCGGCCGCGTGATGATCGTTCGGTGGTCTGAGAGCGAGATTGGTGTGGAACCTGCTGTGGTCGACTGGAATGGCAGGAAGAGCGACAGTGCGTCCAGCCGATGTCTCCTCGCGGAGACGATGAGCGCTATTAGTGGACATGTTGCGCGCAGCGCGAGGTCGCGAATTGATGATCTATCGAGGCGCAGCGTGGGTGGCAGTCGAGCTGTGTGTTCTGGAAGTCGAGCACTCGCGGATGACGCTGGATGTCGAGAGTATGGCGAAGTGTTCAGGTTGTCAGACAGCTGACTGGCACAAGGGCGGCTTTCACAGGCTCCAGGACGTCGCCAGAAGGGACTGTGTCGTGAGCCCGACACCGTGGCCGATCTAAACCCGTCGCGCTGCGTGAATGTGCGTCATCCACATCATCAGATGAAGTGACGTTGGCTTCAGTCGACCTGACCTGACCTGCGCCACCACTGCGTTTGCTGCAACAAACGCAACCCAGCCGCAGGCAACCGACACACTCGGGCTGCATATCGAAGGGCTGGAGTAATACGAAATGAAGACAGCAATAACAAGAAAAATGCCAGGGGCCCAATGAAGGGCAGGCTACTGTTCAAACTCTCCATCTTCGTTTGCGCAATTGGGTATCTAAAACTGCATAAGATATGCCCTTTTGTTCTGCCCACCATCCAAATATATACAATGCCGGCGATCCATGCGCCGGCTCGCAAAAGAGTGTATCATATCGTGTCATCGTCAACCAATAATCCCCAATAAAGCCAACGCCCGCTAATAGATCTTGTCATGCTCAGAACCTGCCTTGCCATCCCGGAACAGGTGCCGGACCAGCAGTGTAGGACCGAGGTGGTCCAGCAGGTGGTGAAACCCGTCTAATGCTGCTGGAGTGATCTCCGTCGTTGCCGTAGTCATCCAAGATGTCCGCGTAACCAGACGTGAGACGATTGTCGTTCGGGGCTGTATCTGCGCGAGGTGGCACACTTTGTGATTGGGGTACCGGCGTGCTTGAAGCACTGTGGAGGCCAGGATTGAACGCGACGTAGCCGCCACCTCTCGTTGCCGTGGTCGCAGGAGCGTACGTCGGCTGTGAAGTCATCTCATAGCTCCCCATCGCCGGCAAGGGCTGCTCTGCTGCGTCCACGGGCGAGAACGGCCTGTGGAAATCGCTCGCTTGGCTTGGGTTGCGTGGTAGAGGTCTGCTGAAGGATGACTGCTGGCTGTGCAGACTTCCGAATGTCGGTCTCCTATCGATGCCAGGTCCAGGTGTCCCTGCTACCGGTCGCGTGAAGTAGGACGTCTGGCTGTCCTCCCGTGCAAGTCCAGAGGGTATAAACGGATCTGTCGTTGAGCGCATGGGCTGCATCAACGGCCGCCCGTAGGAGTCAACGGGCGAGATCGGACTCGAAGCTGATCGTGGCTCTTGATCGAAGCTAAGACCAGTATTCGTACGCACAGGAAACCGGACGCCGGGCATACGCGGTCGTTGGTCTATCGGCGAGGAAGATCGTTGCGAGCCATTGGTATTCATCCTGTTCATGGATGGAAATGATTGCTGGGATGCTTGAGTGCTTTGTGACATGTTGCGGCCAGGGACAGGCCGTCGGTTGAAAGAGGATGCATTCGATACTTGGCGCGAGTAGTAAGTAGGTGCTGGCGAGCCTCTCCCACCTTCGCCGGCAAAGCCAGCATTGGCAAGTAGAGGCGCATCCGAATCGCAGCTGGCCTGGCTCCAGGCTGATGCGTTCCGGGACATATCGGGTCGAGCACCGTCCGCGGCGAGGTCTGGCAGCGTTGGCTGTCGTTGGAGTCCGTTGCTCGTCGACGGGCGGCTGGTATACCGTGGTAGCGTTGAGACGGTCGTGCTGGTGTCTTGTCGATGTAGAGCACCATCCGGTATCTTGGCGTCCTGCTCCAACTTCGGAGTATCACCCAACTGAGGCAATGTCGGTTGCCTTGCACTCTTCGGTGGTGCCGGAGGAGCCAGCTCTCCAGTCTTCTGCCTCTTCAATTCTGCTTTCTTTTCCTCCTTCTCCTTTAGCCTGTTCTCCTCTTCGATGGCATCACGGACCTTGTCTCTAACGATCCTTTCGAGTCTTCTGTCAATCTTCCTTCGGCAATAGATTCTGAGCCTTCCATCGCGCTGCGGAATATAGTGCCACAAGAAGACAAGGTACAGGATACCAGCGATCAACAAACAGAGCGCGCTGAAGATCCAGATGACAAGGGTGAACAGCATAGATCCCAGGATGATGACTTGTTGGAGATTTTCGTCCGCCAGTGCTTGGATGTTCAGAAAGAGCTGCTCTAGAGGCGGTTCGCCCTGTGTTGCCGCCTGGTTGATCAGTTTTGACTCGAACAGCGAGCCCAAGGTCAAGCCATTGATCACTTGTCTCGGTCCTTCGCAGACAATAACGCGCAAAGCACCCTGGAACGCAAAGTAGACGAAGAAAGCGACGTAGTCGGTGCCTTTCTTACTCCGTGTCAACTCCGCAAACACCAGGAATCGCTTCCATCCCTTGGGCCTCATGCACTGTAGCGAGCCTCCGATGGGATCCATGTAGCTCGCCGCGACACCTCCTCTCCTGATGACTCGAATTGCTCGAAGGACCTCAAAGATGCACAATGCCCAGGACAGCAATATGCATATCGCAAAGATCCACTTGCTGTATTTGAACGGAATTACCGGGTCGACCTGTGAGCTCCATTTGTCGAAGACCAGAAGGTTCACGGCTGTGAAGGTGTCGACGCCATAGACTGCAATGGCGACAAGAGCCATGAGCCACAGCCAGATATATGCTACCGGCGTCCAGCATGACCTATTCTTGAAGTCTGGGAGGTTGATAAACTCCCATTTCTGCTTGTGCTCGGGCGGCCCTTTCTCTCGATCACCCCCAAAGCAACCCATCTTGATATATTACTTCCTGTCTTTCTCTCCTCTTCTCTCAGTCCTGCTGAGATGGTGCGGTGTATTTGGGGTGAGTGGTAGCTTGGTGGCTATGTGAGACCAGTGGCTGGCCAGTGTCTTGAACTATTTCGATCTGCCCAGCAGAATCGTGCCCTCCGACTTCCGTCTATGGAGTAATGATCGTATCGCGGCTCAACGAGCGTAGAGAGCGTAGTGGGTCAGATTGGACTCGCGTGGCAGGGTGGAATGCGCGCTCCTCGCATAGTGTGGCTTTCTTCCCTTTGTTCGAAGCGACAATCCCGGTGTCGTCCGCTTTGTGGCCGCGAGATGAAGTGAGTGGCGGATATCACAAAGAACCACCTGTCGTGTCTGTCGTCTTCCGAGCAACACCGCGCGCACAGCACTCGTGGATGTAGCGAAGGTCAATGGTAATGAGTGGATGTTGCCCCTCAGGCAAGCTCGCAATGGCGCGAAGCTGTGTAGCACAATAATACGCTATTGTCGCCGCATTGTCGGGGTGTAGGGAACGTCGGTGAGGTCTCTTTGGCCGACCAGATGTGCCGTTGAACGACTTGACTTGGCTTGTCGCATCTTCAACTTGAAGCACCATCCTGGTCGTTCCTGAGGTGTGGGAGGTGTTTCAAGCCGATGGCGCGCGCCAGGCCTAGGTTCGCGCTGCACCAATCACGGCCAGATCTGTGCGGATGGTTCGGCAGGGGCCGATTGAGATGTGCGTGGAGCGTCACGTGACAATCATTATCACGTGACAACAATTGACCATACCCGCACAAGGTATACATGTAGATGCGATAGATGCGTGATATCTGTACGATTCCAACTAGTCTCGCCGGGGTGCTGTGTCGGTGTCTAATCCATACTATCTTGTTGGGATCCGGGTATTGTTGTTCCCGGTCGCCGCCGTCGGCTGTTCCTCGGCCGCAAAATTTGCGGTATATATAGGTTTCTGGCGATCACGCTCTCAATAACCGGTCGATTAGCTCAGTTGGTTAGAGCGTGGTGCTAATAGGTCTCTATGGTACGCCAAGGTCGAGGGTTCGACCCCCTCATTGACCAGCACATGACATGTGGTGACATTATTTTTCATCTTCCTTATGTATACCTCCTTCCATCCCGTCTTTTTTTTTTCAAAAAACTAGGCAACTGGCGGAGTGCCTTGGATCGGACATACAAGGCGCTTCTTCGAGATACTCTTACCCGACTAAAGTTCTACGAGAGCGATATTACGAGGTCACTTAATTTGGTTCTTAGATAGAAGAAGACGTATTAAGTTGAAAGACACCACCTACATTGACATCGAGAGAGCGAGCCGGAGTACGAGATCCAGAGTATACCTTACCTCATCCCCAATTCTATGCCTAGAGATAGTACCCCCGGCGAAATCACTCCTTCCAATCGGAATCTGTTTATGTCAATTCATGCCACACCCACTACCGACAAATACCGCCCTCCTACGACGGTATAGTGTACATTAAGTCTACATGCTTTTGGCCATATGTTCTCTATCTTTTCATGTCGACAATACGCAGTCACCAAACCCCACCTCACCCACGCCGTATCCACCACAAAGATACTGCCACCAATAATCCCCTGCGGCGGCGGTCCAGCGATACCGCCGTTATTCACGACATACAGCGTTCCCCTCTCAACATCCCTCTTTGTCCGCCCAAAGCGACAAGCAGCCGGCCCAATGAGCCTAATCTTCTCCGACTCTCTAGCGACAACTTCAACAGACCCATCCTCGATACCGATCTTGATCAGAGCATCGGTCGTACCACTAGTCACCCAAGCATCCCCACGCCCGTCCAACGCAAAGTCGTCCGACCCACTTGTCACTGTCATTGAGTCCATCGGTAGGATTAACCATGACCCAGGAGAGAGGCGGCTCCCCGAAAGTATTGGTGAAGTCCAGGCACAAATTGCAAGCCATTAACGCCTAGTTCAACTTGCGCGGAAGCATTCGGCGCCATTGCTCCCGATGCCCTCTCTCAAGTCCAAACTCCAACTGCCCACAGTGAACGCAGCTAACCCTTTTGCCCTTCTGTCTGTAGCATTCGAGCAATTGTACACCAGCTCGGCCATCGTGGGATCAGTGAAGAGTCACGGAGATCCTGCCATCTGACCGGACGGCGTGGTTCTTCCCCCATGCCTCGTTGTTCGGATGTGGGCGTGAGGTCGTAGCGGGACAGCGGAGATGAACGGAAAGAGAACGAGAGGAGAGAGGAAAAGAAATAGAAAGGTCTTCATGGCTGCGAGGGAGGTTTGCTAGGCAGGTCGTCGCCGTGGAATACGAGGCCGGGACAGGACATGATTGCAGTTGGAATTGGGTTTTATTACCTGGCAGAACTACTGCTGAGCTTCTATACTGTCACTTATGAGAAGGTACCGACCGGAGTCAACGCAAACAAAGCGTCATGTTCTCTGCTTCAGCATGTGTCAGCCCCTGTGGAGTAATCGCTATAGAGCTCCTGGATGAAGTCAAAAAAGCGCCTTAGATGATCGCACTCCTTTCGCGATCGCCGGATCATGCTGATTACGTTACATCGATCCGGTCAATGCCATCCGCTGTTTCAGCCGCGATGGTTTGCAGGTGGTGAGAACAGCTGAGGCTGAGATGACTAAAGGTACGTAAGTACGAAGCTGAAGATGTTGCCCAAACCGGCATAGTCAAACTGTATGTATAGCTATACTGGCGTCAGCTTCCTAAAGCCATGTCGTTGCCAAACTCATCATCATCATCATCATCGTGAAGACGAAGCTGGTGTCCCAACTCTGCTCGAGCTCATTGGTGGAGGCGGAGGTAGGCTCCAGTCTTTGACTTGCAATGCGTGGCGTGCTGCGGCTCCAAGTTCTCGTACATGACCAGGTGAGCTCCATGGAGGAAGGGGCAAGGGTGAGCTGCTATACAGAGTCTCGAAGCGGCCGCCGGGTAGCTTCGGCGACGAGTCTAGTGGAATGATCGTAGGTGCTTCTGAGAGCATCGTATCCGGCTGCTGTTCCGCAAGATCGTCTTCGGGTGCATAGTTTTGCTTGAGCGAGAATTGAGTCGGCACGACGGTGCTATCCTGAGATGGAAGAGCTGGCGATGGCGATGATGGGACTGCTGCTTCCGTATCGGCTCTCGGGTTCAAGCTTACTGCTGCCTTGATCGCCGGCGGTGATGAAGGTACGGCTTGAATAGCGACAATTGTGGCATCGCCATCCTCGTCACCGTCATTACCGCTAACATCTGCGCGTGCTTCCTCGTCGCCGTGAACCCGCTCTGTAGTTGCTCCGGGTCTCGTGGCTTTGCGTGATGGACTTGACTCGGTGACGAGTTCATCGCGAGTTTGATGCAGTCGATCAAGCACGCCCGGAACCTTGAAAGCTGTCCTCTGATAGCACCCGCGGTCTAAGTCGTCATCGTCCGTCTCGCTATCCTCGTGCTGCTCGTCAACGACTAGAGGCAGCACCGCCTGATTCTGCGTCCATTCGAACCTCGAAGCATCGCGATCAAGCGCTGAGTCGACAGGATCAAAGGTCGCTTGTGTATAGCCACCAGTTTGCGTGTAGCTGCCAGCTTGAGTGTAACCAGCAGCTTGGGTCTTTTCGCCATATGTTGGTTGATGCTGATCTTGGTAAGTTTCAGGTTGGCCAGACGATATGATAGTTGCTTCCACCGGATCCGAGAGCAGGCCAGCGTCATCAAATTGGGTCTCCTGAACTGTTGATACTCTGACCAGCTTAGGAGTCGCATTGACCGGGCTTTCTGCGACGAACGTCGTATTTGACAGATCGAGGTCCTCCGTTTGCGAATCTTGGACAGTGTTGACTCGTAGCAACTTCCGTGGACGCCGCTCTGAAGGCTGAGAAGGTTTGGACGGTTCAGCAGGTACACCAACATTTTGTTCCAAGGCATCCGTGGGCTCAAAAGAATCGTTCAGCGGCACCGTCTTGGTAGCTGAACGTGCCCGCTTGAATAGTCCCGAGCCCATCTTTTGACTACCAGAACTCTGACGCTTCGGTGTGGTAGATAGCACGTTGGTACTGCGTTCCTTCAATGGAGACCTCTGCAGTCCTGGCTTATGGTCAGACTTCCTGGTGGAATATCTCGTGCTTGGTGGCGTTTGAGAGGAGGGTATCTCTTTGATCCGCTTTGTTAGTGGCGTCTGCACCTTGGGAGCCATCCCAGCCATATTCACGGCACTGGCTGCCCGCGGCGACGAAGGAATCACATTCTGAGATGTCTCCGGGATATCGGGTAGCTTTTCCTCTTCATCCTCCTCAGGCTGCTGTCGCCGTGATCTCCTACGGTTGCCACCATCGTTCCTCCTTGTAGTTCTTGCCACAGGTTCCACAACGTCGATTCCATCATCCCAAATCTGGAAGCCATCCTCGTCCAATTTCAATGTAGGCATTCTCGAAAAGTCCACCATCTGGGTCAAGCTGGACTGGTCTGCCTCCCTCGTATCGAACTTCGATTTGCGCCGCCGCTTCTTAGGCCGTGGCTCCTCGAACTCCTCATCGCTCGATATAGGGTCGACCTCGCTAGTATTGATCGGTGTGCTGACAAAATCGAGCTGCGTCAATGTGGACTGCTCCTTTCGTAACGTTGCAACAGGTCCGCCAGTGCGCTGTCTGATTGACTTCCTGGCGGTTCCGATTTTCTGCTGGTGTTTCGGGCGTGGTAGAGACTCGACTGTGACTGTGACTGTGACACCGCTGGTTCTCTTGGCTGGCATTCTGGCATCTCATAACGATCAATGCGATGTGCCGATGTAGCGATGTGGTGATATGAGCGATGGCGGCGAGTCAGACGCGTCGGGGGAGACGCGGTTGATTTCCTTGGCGCTGTCGTCATGAAAATTGAAGTCGACTTCACCTCTTCTCTACATATATAACGCTCTTGAAATATAGATACAGGTAACGAGTGCATCATGGTCGGTATAGACGGACCAGATGCCTACGCTAAACCTCCACCGGCAATCAAGACCGCCTACAAGAAGTTCCAGAAGCTCGACACAGCAGCCCTGAAGGACGATGCGGATATCCTCGATATGACTCGACATGATGACTTGTGTCCTCAAACCCGGCAGTCTACTCTGTTCGAGTTCCCTAGCGATATCAGACAAGCCTTCAGTGACTTCCTGGGAAGTGGTGATGATGCCTCTAGCAATCTTCTGGACGACGACTACCGACCCCGAGTCTTCGAAGTAGTGTCCGTTCCAGGTGAGTAAGCCATCATCTTCTCCTCTCCATCTTCCTCTGAGAAAGGTAGGTCTATACATCTTCCCTTCTGTTCTTCCCAAGGCCGTTCAACTTCGCATGCTTGATAAGCTATTCCTACGAGATCTCTGCAACCCCAAGCACAAAACGAACGTGCACATGCACCACGAGGTTCCTTATCCACGTCGATCGGACGATGGATATCCTCTATCGTACTTTGACTCTGCCTCATCATCGCTCGTCTTCCAGCCAAAGGACTCGAGCATACACAAACCTGTCACCACCTCTCAATACCTCAATAGAAAGCTTCGCTGGATGACTCTGGGCGGGCAATACGACTGGACGAACAAGATTTATCCTGCGGGACCTCCTCCGGCCTTCCCCGAGGATACCAAAGCACTTATTGAAAGCGTCTTCCCGATGAAAGCCGAAGCCGCAATCGTCAATCTCTATTCACCCGGCGACACACTCAGCCTACATCGAGACGTAAGCGAAGAATGCGACCAACCGCTTGTCAGTATCTCGTTAGGCTGCGATGGCATCTTCATCGCTGGACTGGAAGGCACGCGTGAGAGTGAAGGTGCCAGGGTGGCGGTCATGAGGCTAAGATCTGGCGATGCGGTGTTGATGAGTGGCGAAAGTCGGTATGCTTGGCATGGTGTTCCAAAAGTGCTGGAAGGGACTTGTCCGGACTGGATGAAGGACTGGCCAGGCATTAGTCGAGATGGAGAAGTTGAGGGGCGATTTGCGCAATGGAAGGGTTGGATGGCCGGCAAAAGAATCAATCTGAACGTTCGGCAGATGTTTGCTTGATTTGCGGGCAATGTCTCAGCTCGCAAGCTGGCAGCGCG